ATTTTTTTATCCATCAAAAAATTTAAGACCATAGCACACTTCCTAATGTCCCGTGTTTGAACTCTTCAAGAATCCGATGATCGCTTTTTTTGAAATTTATAAATATTATTTTTAATATTATAAAATGAATAAATTTTATTTTTATTTTTTAAAAATATTTTTCTTTAATTTTATCTTTTTAAAATGACTTAAATATGTCTTTAGTCCTTATAAAATTAATAAGTTTTGAATTTAGTTTCTCTATAAAAAAAATTGTTTTTCATTTTCTAAAAATGGAAATTTTATTTTTAATTCTTATTTTTTATGCAATCAATTTTAACTACTTTTTATTTTTTTAAAAAAAGATAAATATTTATCTTAGGTGTCACCTACCACAATTACGTACTATTATCATATTGATATTTAACACCTCTAAATTTCTTTTTAGTTTTTTAAAATAAATATTATTTATCTACTTTAAAATAATCAAACTAGTGAATTTATATTTTAGAGGGATGAAAATCAAAGAAAAATATTTTACTCCTTTTATAGTATTAATATTTTCGATCTTAACAATTATTTTAAATAAATAATATTTATTTTTAAATATTTATAAAATACTTAGAGATGTTAGCATATTGTCTTTAAAATTATAGTAAGCAAGTTCAAGTGTGAATATTTTCATATTTGTGTGTTTCATGAGTTTTCTGTTAAATAATTAGTCCATATATTAGTTTATTTAACATAAATAGTAGTTTTATATTTTAGAAGAAAAAACATAAATATTTTATTTTCTAGAAGTAATATGCTTAAAATTACACACACACACATATATATATATATAATATATATATAGGGGGTTATAATTATACCGGTGTAACTTCTACTAAGTATTATACCGCTCAATAACGTTATATTAAATGTGAATTTTGTAAATCCAACCATTAAATTGAAAGTTCATATCACTTTATACGTGTATATCAAATTTTGTTAAAATTGAACAACAACTGGAAGGTAATCAAAGTGTTCATATTTTAGTGAATTTTGAAATGAATATATTACATCAATTTTGTTTTATAAAAATAAAGTATCAAATCATCTTGGATTAATATAAAACTTTGTATGTATAATCTAAGAGATATGAACTTTCAATCTAACGGTTGGATTTACAAAATTGACATTTAATATAAAGTTATTAAGCGGTGTAATACTTAGTAAAAGTCACATTCACTACTAGAAAAATTATATATGAGGGGGGTTATAATTACACCGATGTAAATTTTACTAAGTATTACACTGCTCAATAACTTTATATTAAATGTAAATTTTGTAAATCCAACCGTTAAATTGAAAATTCTTTACTTTTAAATCATATATACAAAATGTTATATTAATCGAAGATAATTTCTTATAAAAAAAATTAAATCTGTTGGAAAATTTATATTTTCGATGAAATTTTTTTTGTAGGAAAAGCTATATTATTGATGGAATATTTCTGACAAATTTATATTTGTCGAAAATGTAAGAACTGATTTTAAATTTGATATGAAAATATTAT